CAAAAATCAAAGTTGTATTTTTCTGTCTTATAATTACAACGTGAAATAACTGTCATGAAGACAGGAATTTATATGTATAATTGAAATGAAAGATGAGAATGGACTTTTTATAGATAAAAGACTGGTTTGACTATGTGAATTGGCCTTGTCAAATAAGTTATATGTAAATAAGAACTTTTCCACAGATTAAGTGAACTAAATATGCAGTTTCAATGTTTTAAAAAGAATATGCAAACCACAAAATATAAAATATTTTACAAAAAAGTATTGTTCCTGGCCTACAGAGGACAAAAAAACAATAAACAAAAGTATTGTTTTGGCAAAAGCATACTGAAAATTAGCAAGATTTCAGTTTTTCCAATGATTTGAGAGTATCTGGTTAAAAAACAAACAAAAAGGAACCTAAAAGTAACAAGTATAATTCTCTAGCCACTCAAATCTTGGTGAAAATTTTTTTTTTTTTAGTATATTTCTCCATAACTCAGAAAACCGGTAATTCTAGTGACTGGATTACAGATTATTTTTAATTTTTAAATGTATGGTTACTATGTCACTTTTGGCATTTAATTCAAAAGGACAGAACTGAATAACACTATAGCAAAATTCTTTCCATATTTATCTATTTATTATGTGACTAAGACTTCTTGGCATTTATATCTAAAACAAGTTTAAAAAGAAAATGCCCCCATAAATAGGTACAATCATTATGTGTCAATTAAAAAGAAAAAAACTTTCTTTGAAAGTGTCACTCAAGCAATAAATAAATATATTCATGAATACATAAACTAAATGAATAAAAGGGAAAACATCAGCCCCATACATTTTAAAACAAACATTTCCAATATTAGTTTACACAATAGGCTTAATAACTATAAATATTTGTAATATACTTTTTACATCAAGTGTTTCTTAATAATTATAACTCAATCCAGCTTTTAAAAATGTAGAAACTTTTAGTAACAGAAATCTTATTTAGCGTTAAATTTCAGTGAATGTGTATCTCTTTATTACAGTAAAATATGACAGGGTAATAAAAAGATTTTCAATTACATAAAAATATATCATATTAAGTTAAAATTCGGTGGGAAAACTGAACAGAAATACGAATTTAAGAGGGAAAAGGCACAACATAAAATTTCCAACTGTTAAAGAAGAGATGGTTCATGTATTTTTAAAATTAGATGATACTGAATAGCAAATCGGAATGCTCTTTAGAGATCACTGGACACATCTAAGTGTCCTGTAGGTTTTACTTTAAAACATAAATATTTATATCCTTAAAAACAAAACCCATACACTTTCTCAAAATATTATGGGAAATCTGCAAGCGAATATATATATGTATATGTATATACATGTATAATACATATATATATTATACATATATTTATATATATATGAAGACCAATGCCTTAATTTAGTGATAGAAAACATCTTTCATTTTGCCCTATGAAGTTCACTTTTTTCTGTCTACCTAAAGAACACCTAAAATACAACACTTTAGGCTATAAGGTTAGAAACACCTATAAGCATGAAAAATCTTATAGATTTTCAGTGTGAATAACTTGAGGAAGAAAAACTTTACAGTATTGAGAGAAAAACACCAAATTCAATAAATTCCTTAAATTATGACAAAAGAGTTGTTGCAAAGGAAAAAAAACTCCAAAAAGACAGGGGAAAAATGTAAATGTAAAAGTCCCTAAAATTCTAGTAAATTATGAAATATGTGAAGAGGATGCTATGTTCAGATCAGCACAAATTCGAGTTTGATGACATATTCTGCAAGGTTATGGGGAAATAGTAACTCTCATACAATGCTAGTGGGAACGGCAAATGTTCACTCCTATGAGGAGGGAATTTAGCAATATCTAGCAAAATTACATGTGAATTTACCCTCTGAAATAGTGAGTGCAATTCTAGGAATCTATCCCACAAACAAACTGCACAGATATGAAAAAAACATATGCACAAGGCTTTTATTAAGGCACTATGTGTAACAGCAAAAGATTGGGAAAAATCTCTTTTCATCAATAGGGGACTAACTAAACATCTATAGTAAATCCACCAAATGCAGTACTATATAACAATAATCATGCAGTACTATGTAACAATAATAGGGATGATAAAGATACCTCAATACTTTGCTGTAGAGTGATCTACAGAATATACTGTTAAGTAAAAAAAAAATCAAGGTGCCAAACAATGTGGACAGTTTCTCCAAGAAGGGTGGTATATGCTTGTATTTTTAAAAAAGAAAAAGTAATGGAAGGCTAAGCCACATAATTTTTAAAACGGGTTGCCTATAGGGGAAAAGGAAGGAAAAGGGAATCAGGACAAAAACCAGACTTTTCTGAATATAACTTCTTTGTAGATGTTGACATTATAACCACGTAAAATTTTTTTTTACATAATTATAAAATAAATGAAAATGAAAATAAAAAGCAATTCCTCAAAATAAAAAACAAAGTTAAAACAATAAATAAACCTAACTTTCTGTCCAGTTGGTAGAATACCAACCAGGAATAAATAATTTCAAGTGACTTCAAAACAGTAATTTATAGGTGGCCATGGCAGGAGGATCACTTGATGCCAGGAGTTCTAGACCAGCCTGGACAACATAGCAAGATCCCATCTCTACAAAAAATAAGAAAAATTAGCCAGGCATAGTGGTGTATGCCTATAGTCCTAGCTACCTGGGAGACTGAGGCAGGAGGATGGCTTGAGCCCATGAGTTCAAGGCTGCAGTGAACTATGATCATGCCACTGTATTCCAGCCTGAGCAACAGAGTGAGACTCTGTCTCTTAAAACAAAACAAAACAAAAACCACATTAATTTAAACACACATTCTTAGTGGGACATACCTGATGATTTCACCAAAAACAAACAGCAAGGAAACAAACAAAACAATTTTAAAATCATTTCATTAATAATTACATTGGTATTACTATTATAAAGTACTTTTATACATCTACCAGGACAAAACAAATAAGTAACTAAATTAACATCATTAGGAACCAAGGCTATTAACTCAAAAGCCTTAAAAGAAAAATGGTATATTTGACAACATAAGAAAATACATTTTCCCCAAGACAATAACTACCCTAAACAAAGAAAAAAGACTAGTGAAGAAACTGGGTTAAAATATTACCTACTAGTATCACAGCAAATATCACTCCAAAATACTGTATTTCATATCTATGAAACCATTACAAGATGCACTATTACTGACTGTATGTACTACTGTGCAAACATTTTTTTACAATTAAGCCATGTCATGCTACCATTATAAGATTCATCTAGATTTCAGAGATGGCAAAATGTGGAAAAAAAGTGTCTTAGATTCCATATAAGACGACTTTCAGCTGGGCATGATGGCTCATGCCTATAATCTCCAGCTATTCAGGAGGACTGCTTGAGCCCAGAAGTTGGAGGTTGCAGTGAGCTATGATCATGCTACTGCACTCCAGCCTGGGCAACAGAGTAAGACTCTGTCTCTAAAAATAAAATAAAAAGAATTGCTATGAATAATATTCTAAAGACCAAATAGAAAAATGGGCAAAGGATATTAACTGACAATTATCAAAAAAGAAATAGAAATGGACTATACATATGAATAGGTGTTCAATCTCACTCACAAAAGAATTGCAAATTAAGACTACATTGAGATACTATTTTTCATTAGCAAAGATCAAAAGGTTAATAACACCTAACAAAAGTGAGGGAAAACAAGTACTTTCAGATACTACTGGTAAGGAGTGTTAAATCAAGTATACCAAAATGAGAAATGTACCTGTCCTGATACAGCAGCTCTACTTCTAGGAACTCACACTACAGATGTGCTTGCATGTGTGCAAAAGAACCCATATAGCAGGCTAATTTATACATTGTATTAGGAAAAAAATTAAAATTGGCAACACTGTAAACATCTGTCAATATGGTGGTACTGATTATGGTACTTCATACAATGGAATACTATGCACTCATTGAAGAGAATGTGGGTGCTTTTTGAAGACTCTTATGAATGGTTTCTGTGATAGAAAAAATTCCCCTTAAACTGTGCTTTCCTCTAAATTCCACAACAATCAACACAGAAGACTTCTGTGACCAAATGTGGGGTTTTTCCTGACACACCAAGAAGCAGATTCCAGCTAGGTGTCCTCTAATTCAATTCCAACATTATCTACCCCAAGATAGCATCAGGTCCCACAGGTTGAGGGCTCAGTCACCAAAACTGACCCTCTTTCCTGCCAGCTGCCAAGTCCAGGCCTTCACGACTTCTGACTGACTAGCTTCAAAAATGGGGTTCCCACAATCCCATCCGTGTTTGATTAATTTGCTAGAGAGGCTCACAGAACTCAAGGAAACGTTTATTTATGTTTACTGATTTATCACAAAGGATATTACAAAAAGATATATATGAAGAAATACATGGGTGGGGTCTGGGGGAAGGGGCGCAGAGCATGCCACCCTCCAGGAACCTCCACATGTTCAGCTGTCTGGAGGCTCTCTGAACCCAGTCCTCTAGGGTTTTTTACTGACAATTGTGTGGAAATGTGATTAGCCTTCAGGGTATGGGCTGCGACCCTCTCTGGAAGGAGGGTCTTATGACCCACAATCAGAAAGGCAGGGGAAGCCAGAGAGATTCTGTTTCCTGAGGCCTAAAGAGCCCCAAGATTAAACAAGGACTATGGGAGTTATGAGCCACGAACCATGGACAAAAACCAATATATATATAACACCACAGTCTCTAAGACATATTAAGTTAAAGTAAGATCAGAAAAACTGTGCATAGTATATTACCAATTGTGTAAGGGGGAATATAAATTTTCTTTATAATGCATCAAATATTCCTGAAGGGATAAACAGGAAACTGGGAACACCCTTTGCCTCTGGGTTTGGGAAGCAGGTGGTTGAGGCTTACAATTAAAAAATATTAAGTCTTCTTTGAGGTAACAAATTTTAGTATATAACCTGAAAAAAAGAATTTTAAAGTACTTGCCTTTTTTCCTTTTGAGGCTTCAGAATCCTCATCTTCATCTACACTCAGTAGATTTGCTCCACTACATAGAAAATAAAGGGAAAAAACCTTAGTAATAACCACAATCCATACATTAAATTCAGAAGTTTTATCATCTATGCTCACCTAATTCAGGGAATCAGCAAACTTTTTCTGTAAAAGGCCAGAAAGTAAATATTTTAGATTTGCAGGCCATATGGTTTCCATAGCAACCACTCATCTTTGCCATTATAGTATGAAAACAGCCATAAACTATAAATGTGGCTATGTTCCAATAAAAATTATTAATAAAAATCATGTAGTAGGAAACATCGAGCCCATGGGCCATAGTCTGCTGACCCTTACCACAAATGAACACATACTTTTGTTTTTTTAAACTATGGATTTTATTTATTTTCACTCATTTTTCCTTTCTGTCTTGGTTTGACAATAACAGAAGATAGAGAAACAAAGTAAAGGAGAAGAAACAAACTGGTAAGGGAAGAAAACCTTAGCTAATGAAAAAGAAGTAATTCCAATGGTACTACCATAGTAAATTATTTATACTTCCACCATTCTTAGAAATAGCAACCCTTCACTGACGATCACTGTACTGAGATTCTAAAAGATCACACTAATATATCTATAAACAGTTCATGTTAATCTCAACATATTCAAAAAGCTGAAGCCCCTTAGGATCCATGAAGAACCAAAGAGTACAATTCATAAATGAGATATTTAGGACAGCTAGCACCTTAAAAGACAATTTTTTAATAATGTAACTATGGCAAATCTGCCAACAAAGAAAGTCAAATACACCTTGTTGAAGACAAGTCTACTAAGGCATTTACAGTAAAATGCTAGCTATTTATAATAAAAGTGTTTTGTTTCATTACTGTTTATATACATCCCAACTTTTTAATGCTAAAAATTATCTCATGTAAACACTGTACAAAAATGTTCAAAAAGTGGTATACTTTCTATTTAGCTTAATTTCAGATTTAATTTTAATTTTTCAAAACTATATAAATACCGAATGTAATAAAAAATTATTTTATATTAAAAAATAATCAGAAAAAAGCAAAAAGAAATGAAAGAAAGAAGATCATAAAATACTGACTTAAAATGAGAAACTTACCAGTTCAAAGCTCTCCTTCAAATAAAACTTCACTTCAGGTCAACATCTCATAGATGAAGGCACATAAAGTGGTAATGATGAATGGAGCTGTTGCCCAGACAGAAGTGAAGCACCTATAATATTTAGCCAATATACTCTGAATGACTTCTTGTATAAAAATTTCTAAAAAGTATTTATAGTTTTGGTAGAACTTTGCGTATATAGTATTTGTGTGTCTCTTAATTTCTTGTTTCTTTTGGCCAGCAGAAAACCAGATAAATAAATCAAAAACTAAAAACAATGTTGAATTTGTAATACAAATTTCATAACATGCAAAAAGTTCTATTAAAACTATTATTTAAAATTTTTACACACCAGTCATTCCAAGTACGTTAACAAAGTGTAATGAACACTTTGCTTAACTTCTGTCTGGGTAAACACCTGTGTTTATCATTTATAGTGGTTCTGCTTTCTCTGGTGAAAATCTGATCTAAGATGGACGTGGTGGGGGTGGTGGTCAAAACTGGGGAAGAAAGATACTGTAGTACTTAAACTTTCATACAAAATCCAAGAGTCTTATCTGGGTTCACTTACTCATGATAAATGGTAGCTTTTTAAATTACTGTCTAAACAGACCGCCTTTTTGAAAAACAACAACAACAACAAAGAAAAATAATTTCCTTAATTTGAAATCTTCTGTTGTATGGTCAATTTTTAATCATAAGGTTACGTGTATTATATGTATATATTTACACATTTCAAAAGATGAAGAAATACAACAGCAAAAATATTTACCAATAAAGAATTGTGTTTTCTTTTCCTTAAGGCTACTATAAAAGAGTTAAGGTTTTCTCAAGTAAATAACACCACACTCTTAAAAATCTTTCCATGGAATATAAATTGTTTTTCTATGAAAAGTTTCATTCTTATAAAATATCTGAGGGAAAAAAAAAATGCTTACTCTTTATCTGTATCTCCTTCACTTTCTTCTTCATGATCAAAGCTCCAATTATTTTTAAAACCTCCATCTCTCTTAGATTCTGATCTAGCCAAAGCTGAAATAAAAAGAAACTGAGATAAGTATTCATTAATATAGCTACTCAATATAAAACAAATTTGAGCATTTACCAAGCTCTTTGATTATTTTAGATTGTCTTTTAATTTGCTTGCCTTTTGTCTATTTCTTATAAATATTAATATCCTATTATTAAAGAGAAAAATAACACATTAAAATCTACTTTTATTAATTGATAGGCATCCATATGTGTGCTTGCTACACAAAGAAGCTCAAATTAGTAAGATATAATAATAAAAATGGAGGGTACATGACTATATATGATTATATAAAATCACCCCTAAATCTCAATCTTTGATCAGAGATTCTAGAAATCAGGACCTATAGTCTGCTTGCCTTATTCATAAGAGCTATATCTAGACCACAAGACTTTTCCTTAAATTCAATCATCCCTGCCTTTTAATAGAAGAAAAATAAGACAAGGTTTTCTGTGTTAGCAAGATGGTTAACTTGATGACCAGAAAAACTCTAGATCAGAAAACCAAATATGCTTATTATAAGTTAAAAAATTTTTTGTAAGTACACAGCTGAAACACCCTGAAACCATAAACAACTATTAATAGACAGTGGGAACCAGAGAGACAAATGAAGTTCCAAAGCTGGCATTTCTCTTGGTCCCATTTAACAAAAACCTGATGTTTTAGAGCCTGGGCTTTAAGATTAAATTCAGGGTCCCTGCAAGATGAGAGATCAGACTGCAAACCAGAAGACCTGAAGGGCAACAGTCTGACTGGGAGAACTAAGAAAAATAAAAGAAACTCACTGAAGAAACAGTGGGGATAATTGTGGTATCTTACCCTTGGCTCTGGCTTTTTGAGTTGAACTAAAGACAAAGTATATCCACCCTACTGTCAGAGCTACTGTCTGAATGTGTCCCCACAATTTATGTTGAAATTCCAACCCCTCTTGATGGTATTAAGAGGTGGGGTCTTTGGGAGGTGATTAGATCCTGAAGACAGAGCCCTCATGAATGGCATTAGTATACCCTTATAAAACAGGCCCAAGGGAGCTTGTTTGCCCCTTCCATCACATCAAGACACAGCCAGAAGGCACTATCGGTGAGAAAGTGGGCCCTTACCAGACACTCAGTCAGGACACATTGACCTGACTTTCCAGACTCCTGAACTGTGAGAAATAAATTTCTGTTGCTTAAATGCTACCCATCTATGGTATTTTGTTACAGCAGCCCAAACAGACTAAAATAGTTAGGAAATTCCTAGTCATAAGCCAACAATTAATTAAGGTTTGTGGCCAGAATTTTCACAACCTACGTAGCCCAGGAAAGTCCATGATTAAAATAGCCTCACAAGAAAAGATGCTCAACTAGGGAAATGTAAATCAAAACCCTAATGAGATACTACTGTTCACCCATTAGGACAGCTATTATTATTTTCTAAATGGAAGTAACGAGTATTGGCTAGGATGTGGGAGAAACTGGAACTCTTGTGCATTGCCGGTGGGAATATAAAACAGTGTAGCCACTGTGGAAAAGAATGTGGTAGTTCCTCAAAAAGTTAAACATAGATTTACCATATGATCTAGCAGTTCTACTTCTAGGTATATACCCAAAATAACTGAAAGCATGAACTCAAACAGACATTTGTAAACCAATGTTCACAGCAGCATTATTCACGATAAGCCGAAAGGTGGAAACAACCCAAATGTCTATCAACAGATGAATGGATAAACAAAATAAGGAACATGATATGTCTGCACACACACAAATACACCGCACCTACAATGGAATAATATTCAGTCATAAAGGAATGAAACTTGGATACAGGATACAACATGGAAGAACCTTGAAAACATTACACAAGGTGAAATAAGCCACATACAAAAGGACAAATACTGTATGATTGCACTTATATGAGGTACCTATATGAGAACAGGCAAATCAGGCCAGGAGCGGTGGCTAACGCCTATAATCCCAGCACTCTGTGGGGCTGAGGCAGGAGGATTACTTGAGCACAGGAGTTAGAGACCAGCCTGAGCAACAAACCAATGGAGACCCTGTCTCTAAAAATAAATTAGCCCGGTGCTTGGCAGGCTGAGGTAGGAGGATGGTTTGAGTCCAAGAGTTTGAGGTTGCAGGCTGTACTCTAGCCCAGACAATAGAGACGTGTCTCAAAAAAAAAAAGAATAGTCAAATTCATGGAGACAGAAGTAGAAAACATGTTACCAGGGGTTGGGGAGTGGGAGGGTGCAGGGGGGAGGGGATATGGAGAATTATTGTTTAATAGATAGAGTTTTCGTTTGAGATGATGAAAAAGTTCCAAAAATGGATAGTGGTGGTGGTTGCACAACATTGTGAATGTACTTACTGCCAATGAATTGTACAAATGTACACCGAAAATGGTAAATTTTATCACAATAAAAAATGTTTTGAAAAGGAAAAAAAGCTTCAAAATGACAAACAGAAGCAAACATAAATCCTCTCCAAAATACATAAAACTTCAATGTAAGCCTCGAAAAAAGAGTTTCAAAAAATATCAAGAAACAGGAGGAAACAAGTCGTCAATAGCAAATGTGAAACTTCTTTACATGTATGCTGAGGTTGAAAACGTAAGTAAACAAATAGTAGATGATGAGAACAAAGTTTCTTCCTGTCAGAGAAACAAGTTCTAAGTAAGCAAGAGGGAAAAGCTAGAAGGAAAGCTGTGATGCTGGATTACAGTCAGAACTCAGTCACTGAACTCATGTTTATTTAACACATATATAGGTGGATATATATGTGATGTAACATGGGTTAGTACTTAGAGCTACGGCTCTGTTCTCTGACAAGGTCTAGTAGCGACAAACATACCTACTGACAGATCTTGGTTTCCAAATACCATTCTCTCCAACAAAAGGAGCCAGGGCTCCTAAGAGAAATGACTGATTCTAGGGGAGAGGCAGGAAAAAGACAAGATGAACATGGAGTACTGTGCAGTGTCAGAATGCAAGAAACTGCTTTTTTGAAAAAGAAAAGATGAAGTATGTCAAAAAGTTACAGAAATCAACCTGAAAGAATTCCTAATAGTTAAAGTTGGAACAACTTTAGCAAAAATAAATAATAGCACTGGGTTATAACCCCTGAATAAAATAAATATTCCTGAATCCGTATTGCCAAAAACAGATCATATAATAAATAAATGAATGGGGAGAAGGGGCACATCTTCCTTATAGAATTCCAAATAATATATGCACAGATTCCCTTCTCCGAAAGACAGAACTGAATTCTCCTTACCTTGAGTATGGGGCCTAGACTTGGCAACTTACTTCAGAAAAATATACCATAAAAAGGGGAAAAAATAAATTGATGGTGGAGAAACCTGACAAACACCATCTCAGACAAGTGATCAAGAGTAACATCAACAGTGATATATCCTATTCGTGGAATGTACACTTCATGGTGTGATGAAAATGGTACTTCAGCTCTGCGATCTTCTTCCCCAAAATTCATAATGCCAGGTGAATCACAAAAACATCAGACAAACCCAAATTGAGGGACACTGTACAATATACCTGACCAGTACTCTTCAAAACTCTCAAGGAAAGATTGAGAAACTGTCAAAGGACACAGTAGACTAAGGAGACATGACAACCAAATCCAAATTCCTGGATTGGACTCTGGAACACAGAAAGGGTATTAATGGAATCACTGGTGAAATCCAAATAAAGTCTGTGGTTTAGGTAATAATAGTATGATAGCAATGTTACATTTCCTAGTTTTGATAAATGTATAATGGCAATATTAGGTGGCAACATTAGTGAAAGCTGGGTGAGTCTCTATGTCATCTTTGAAATTTCTCTGTAAATCTAAAAGTATTCCAAAATAAATTTAAAACATTGAATGTAAAATAAACCTGTGTTTCAAAAGTCAAAAGAGATGTTACAAAAATGTTTATCCATTAAAGGAACTAAGGTTTTGCACACACAATTCTAACAAACCTGATCATACAATTTCCTGACTGGTAGATTAGAACCTCTTAATACAAATAAGTGAAATAATCATCTCATGGAAGAGATAAATGCCAATGAGAGGAAATAAATTATAAAAAGCAAAGAAATTTAAAAAACGTACATTTAGGGCAACTTGGAGTAGGGATAAAAACTTCAAATCCTCAAAGTCAATATCCACTATGGTTGACATTTGTAACTATGAGAGTGAAAAATTATGTCCACTATACTCTACATACAAAATTATGGAGGGGAAGAAAAGAAAAAGATTAAGAGATCACAGTTAAATATCACAAACTAAATACATAGATTTTTCTCCATATCCTCCCCTAAAATGACAATAATGGAAAGAGGAGAAAAATCAGAGATCCATAAGAACAAAAAGAACCCAGAGAGGAGATAATAGTAGATGAGAGATGTAACAGAAGTGACGAAAGATGAAAATTTGATAGATGGGTAGGAACTAACTTAGTTGACCAAAGAAAGCAAACACCTAAATGCCTACGAGGGTACAAATTACCAAACTGACACAAAAAAACAAATGATTTTAACATTACCATATCAATAAAAGTAACTGATTTATTACAAATCTTCCCACAAAGACGAACTAAGGCTCAGAAGTCTTTGTCAGTAATTTCTTCTAACTTTTAAGAAATAGCACCAATCTTACCTAACCTCTTCCAGAAAATAAAAAAGGAACACTTTGCAGCTCATTTTATGAAGTCAGACTAGTTGATCCCAAAATTGATGACATTCAAGGAAGAAAAATTATCAAGCAATCTCACATGAAAACAGATATAAAAGCCTAAATAAAATATGAGCAAACCAAATCCAATAACGCATAAAGAATAAAACATTACAATTAAGTAGGGTTTATTCTAAAAAGCAAGAATTAACATTTGAAATCATGAATGTGGCCGGGCTGGGTGGCTTGTGCCTCTAATACTAGCACTTTGGGAGGCCAAGGCGGGAGGATTGTTTGAGGCCAGGAGTTTGAGACAAGCCTGAACAAGAGCAAGACCCCATCTTTATAAAAAA